TTGACAAGACAGTAGTGACGGCCATCTTGGTGACGTGTGTTGTTGACCAGAGATGTAGTTCATTGAGCGTTTCACACAAACAAATGTGTTACTTCACAGTTTTACGACACATTCTTTTTTTTTTGACTTGCAAAATGATCTTTTAAATTGACAAACATCATATGTGTAATTCGTGGCACAATTCAAACGGGATCGAAAGATAATCTTTCTCTCTCCATTGACTTCAATACATAATTTTTACGAAATAAGGTCCCATGGAGGTCCACTGGAAGGGGAGGGACTTCGCCACTCTATAAAACGGACAAGTCAAATCAAGCAATCTGATTGGTTCTTAGCCGTGATATAATGAGCATATATCACGGGTAGAATTGTAGTTACTTTTCACAACAAGTCAGTATCCCTCCGCGTCTGAGAAAAAGCTACAACCGTTACAGCTGTTACACTACGTCCGTTACGAAACTAACTAACAAACAAAGCTTAAGATGGAAACATGTAAGGTTAACTTCGACCTCCGGGGTGGCCTCACTATGGAGGAGTGGATTGAGGAGTGCCTATCTCCAGAAAGCACCTAAACGACGACATGCAGAGCTACGTGAAGAGCAGGTAGACCAACTGGAAAAGTACCACCATTCTTTCTGTCTTGAAACAAAGCAGCTTCGCGTCGGGCCGAACCACGCCCCTTAGCTGTGATATAATGACCATATACCACGGCCTGTCGTGAGCTATTGCTTAAATCTATCTATCTATCTATCTATCTACCGTCCGTCCGTCCGTCCGTCCGTCCGTCCGTCTGTCTATCTATCTATCTACCGTCCGTCCGTCCGTCCGTCCGTCCGTCCGTCCGTCTGTCTATCTATCTATCTACCTATCTATCTAGATCCAAGTCTTGAAATCTATAGGGAGAAACTTTTGGCAAATATCTTTCTGTTAAACCCTTGATGTTTTTAGATCATGTGAAAAATCACACTTTTGTCACATGATGTTTGAGGAAAAACGTCAAATTGTGTTTTTTTCTCACATTGATCTGTCTGCATATCAACGTATTAAGAGTTTATATAAACCACAGGCTGGATTATGATCCTTGTAGTTTCTGAGATTTAATGAAAAATACAAATTCACCAAAAAAAACAAACATATTTTTAGTCAAGGAGTCAAACCGTTTATATACGGACATCATAGACTTTCAAAATAAGAGTGAAAATTGATAACATTTGTTACATTTATGAAGGATGATATCATGTGCAATTTTATTTTGAAAATTGAAGCACCCTTATTTAGAAAATGTATGAAGTAGGATTTCAGATCGATGCATTCTCACTTTGAAAATCTATGAGGTACCTCTACCCTTATTTGAAATACATGAAGTTTAATCTTCTTTTACTTTGAGTGTGTGTGACTGTGTGTGACTGTGTGTGTGTGTGCGTGTGTGTGTGTGTGTGCGTGTGTGTGTGTGTGTGTGTGTGTGTGCGTGCGTGCGTGCGTGCGTGCGTGCGTGCGTGCGTGCGTGCGTGCGTGTGTGTATGTTCTTGGCCTCAGCTTCATCTTCAGACATTTCTTCTTCTCTCTCTTATGTCCTCGTCTTCCCTTCCCTCTCGGGGGAACTCATTTTCTCCGTTTCCACTCCTCTTTGAATTAATTATTTTCACTTTTCTTTGCTTTTCAACAAAGCTGTGTTTGAACCTTCAACTAACGCTTTCACCCCGAGTCCCATGAAGTCTTCTGGGAAACACTGAATATGAAGATGTGTGTGAAACCCAAATGTCCCAATCGTTTAGAACAGACATTATAAAGGACTTCACACTGATAGCCCACAACGACCAATTAATACGCTACTCAGAAAGGCAACAAATAAAACACAAAATATATCGGGCTATAAATTATAAACAAACGATCGTCCCCCAATTGAGTTGAAACCAAACACAGAGAAGCATCTTAAAGGTCCCCTAGTATACTGTTTCTCATCAATATATCACAGGTCTCAGATATACACAGAGCCTGTCTCTGATTGGCTGAAACACCAAACAGATCATTGCAGCATTACCCATAATCCCCTCTGTTTCAGCCCTGTTTCCAAAGTGCTGATTCTCTGTCAGTTACTTTAGATGAAAATAAGGAGCCCCTCCCCACGCCCCTCTGAGAGAGATTTGGTTACAAAGAACTCAATGGTGCTCTAGGAGGAGATTCAGGTGATAAGGTGGGGGGGGGGGGTTACCTTGGTTGGTGATTGGCTAATGGTTACACAAGACAAAACATCGTTATGACATCATCAAGTGGCCAAAATCTGATCAGCTCATTTTCAGACAGGTTTTTATAGAAATGGATCAAAAAGAGAGAGAATCTTTGTTCCTGAAACTTTCAGAGTCTCTTTCCACAGAGGGGACACATGTTGATGAAGAAGAGACATGAAGAAGAGGGGACACATGTTGATGTAGAAGAGACATGAAGAAGAGGGGACACATGTTGATGAAGAAGAGACATGAAGAAGAGGGGACACATGTTGATGTAGAAGAGACATGAAGAAGAGGGGACACATGTTGATGAAGAAGAGACATGAAGAAGAGGGGACACATGTTGATGAAGAAGAGACATGAAGAAGAGGGGACACATGTTGATGAAGAAGAGACATGAAGAAGAGGGGACACATGTTGATGTAGAAGAGACGTGAAGAAGAGGGGACACATGTTGATGTAGAAGAGACATGAAGAAGAGGGGACACATGTTGATGTAGAAGAGACATGAAGAAGAGGGGACACGTGTTGATGTAGAAGAGACATGAAGAAGAGGGGACACATGTTTGATGTAGAAGAGACATGAAGAAGAGGGGACACATGTTGATGTAGAAGAGACATGAAGAAGAGGGGACACATGTTGATGTAGAAGAGACATGAAGAAGAGGGGACACATGTTGATGTAGAAGAGACATGAAGAAGAGGGGACACATGTTGATGAAGAAGAGACATGAAGAAGAGGGGACACTGTTGATGTAGAAGAGACATGAAGAAGAGGGGACACATGTTGATGTAGAAGAGACATGAAGAAGAGGGGACACATGTTGATGAAGAAGAGACATGAAGAAGAGGGGACACATGTTGATGTAGAAGAGACATGAAGAAGAGGGGACACATGTTGATGTAGAAGAGACATGAAGAAGTGGATTTTGCACAATAGGTATCAATTTAGTTTTTGAGTGCTTTTAGTAAGCACAAAGTAATTAAAAATAATATCTTGATGAATTTGTTATAAATGTACTTCGATTGTTTGTAAAATTATACATCTGCATTTTCATGTGCCCAGTTCTGTGTTTGACAAAAGTGAAAATCAATAAAAACAGTTGAAATAGTTGATTAATTTCTTATCTAACCATTTTCACATATCTTAATTTTAGCCTTTGCAGACCATTTACATGCACTAAAACCTATAGAACACACTACAGGAGAGGGAGCACACCAAAAGAACAATAGGACCTCTTAATATTTGCTCAAGTCTTTAATAAAGGAACATGCATAAAAATATTTATCTTAAAAGAAAACACATCAATTATGAATTCTAAAAAATAACTTGCTGTATGGAATCAGTGTGTGTGTGTGTGTGTGTGTGTCTGTGTGTGTGTGTGTGTCTGTGTCTGAGTCTGTGTGTGTGTGTGTGTGTGTGTGTGTGTGTGTGTGTGTGTCTGAGTCTGTGTGTGTGTGTGTGTGTGGTGTGTGTCTGAGTCTGTGTGTGTGTGTGTGTGTGTGTGTGTGTGTGTGTGTGTGTGTGTGTGTGTCTGTATGTGTGTGTGTGTGTGTGTGTGTGTGTGTGTGTGTGTGTGTGTGTGTGTGTGTGTGTGTGTGTGTGTGTGTGTGTGTGTTTTGAAGCCTGCAGCAGCTGTGATTCCCTGTGTGACTCACTGTATTTATCAGTGTGTGCAATTATCTTTTCACTAAAGCTCCACTGAAGCATTTTATTAGAGTCACATTAAAATGAGTAAACACATGTTTCTGTTTCTGTGTCATCAGAGCGGAGAGGCTTTTTATTGTGCGTTTGTTTGATTATCACTGACTTTTATAACGGTGGAAGGTCACTATGGGTTGGACGGTAACTCAAAATAATAATTAATCATCACTCATGTCATCACATTGTGATAAAATCATATTTTGAGATATTGTCAAACGCAAAAACATCATCTAAACTAAAATTGTCTCCAAAAATCGCTTTTCTATTCCTTTAGCTTTACATACAAGGAAACTGGACACCAGTAAATAAAGCCATGTGTTTCTACCGTATAGGTGTACTATTGGATCTGTATTTGTATTAATGTGTGCATGTTTTTCCCCCTTTGCTGTGACGATGCACATTTCCTCTCTGTGGACGAATAAAAGTTCTCTGATTTATTCCTCTCCGGCCATCCTCTTGTCTCGTTGATTACATAGAAAACTTTGGATAAAAGTCTCAGCTAAATCAAATCTATTCTCTCCCCTCATAGACTACGGCTGGCCGCTGCCCTCAAGACGACACCTTCCGTCTGAGAACATTTAGTAGCTATGGCGTGAATTTAAACTGTCAACCCAAGAAAGGAAGTTACAGTGACATATATATAATTAAAGGAGACTTACGATACATTTCTACGATAGGGTGCATGCCTTTTTATTTATTAGTTTCTCTATCTATACCGTCCCTGTGGACGAAAAGAGGATTTCAAATGTCTTCCCCTCCAGCCATCTTCTTGTCTCGTTGACAGCGGTTCTGACCAATTTGCTCCACCCCAGCCTGAAAATTGTTCAGTAGAAAAGATAAAGATCAATAGAGTATCCAAGGAATAATTTGTAATCACTCATATTTTTGGTTTACTGTCCTATAGTATACATTGGAATGATTTCAAACTGTTTTTATATATCCTAATAATTATAAAGGTGTTCCTTGGAAATACTTGTTTATATAAATTGTGATCAACATGATGATTACATAGAAAGCTTTGGATAAAAGTCTCAGCTATATTTAACGTATTGTCTCCCCCCCTATAGACTACGGCTGGCCGTTGCCCTCTGACCTCTGCCCCGTGTGGATCTACCTGGACGTCCTGTTCTCCACGGCCTCCATCATGCACCTGTGCGCCATCTCTCTGGACAGGTACATCGGGATCAGGAACCCCATCCACCACAGCAGGTTCAACTCTCACACCAAGGCTAAGATCAAGATCCTCGCTGTGTGGACCATCTCTGTTGGTGAGACAAACACACACACACACACACACACACACACACACACACACACACACAGTACAGTTTTCATCTGAGAGTAATGACACTATTGTTTTTTTGCATTTTAGTCAATGGTCAAAAAGCAACATATGTGTACGTGTGTAAGTTCCTGTACTTATATCGTTATGGGGACCACCTGTGCTGAACACATTACCAGGACTTCTTAAAAGTGGGGAGATTTCTAGAAAGTAAGAATGATCGTAGAAAGTGGGGACATTTAAGAAAGGTGTGGACATTGTTGGAAAGCAGAAACAAATAGTAAAGTAGGAGAAAGTCGGACATATGTAGAAAGCAAGGGTGTTTCTGTACGGATTTAACACACACACACACACACACACACACACACACACACACACACACACACACACACACACACAAACAGGGTGAAAAAATTGGTGATTTTGTGGTATCATTTAAGTTCACCTGTATGTCGGGATAATAGAGCTGCTTGAATGCATTTACAATCAATGCAATCAAGTAAAAAGGAACATTCGTGAATCCGTGTGATTTTTACTAAAGTGAAGGAACAATCAAGTTCTGATACAGTAATTGGTTTCTGGCCTCCAGCTGCTCAGGTCAATGGAGCTGGATAAAGGAAGTATAAAGCAGCAGAAGTTCACATTAGCAGTACACCTCTGTTATTAATAAAAATAAAAAGGAACATTTTACAATATGAAAATGTATTTCAGTGTGGACCCAATGCAAGGCAGGAAAACAAACCATCAGTTATTGTTTAAAATCAATTTTCCCTAAACTTTCCGTCCCTAATTGATTTGTTGTTCTCTTTGTTTTTGTCACATTAAGCTAATTAAGATGATAAATGTTGTAACAGGTCACTTTCGTCCAGGTGGCTTTGATTTTATCTGCTGATAGAAAGCAGGAACACTGCAGCTCGAATGATTTAGAGCCGACATTACTCCGCTGATTCTACAAGATAAAACACGAGCAGAGTTTGTAATCATTGAAAAGTCATGAAAACACATAACTATGTTAAGGGCCAAAAACCTTTTGTAAGGCTTAAACAAATAAGATTCTAACCTTTAATGAAAAGACCCCAGCCAGAGTAAAAGCATCAAAATGAAAGACATCGTCCTGATGAATAGTCTTTTAATGGTGGAGGTAAAAGACGCTGGAGAAAAACACACCAAAAACACATTAATGCTGCTGGGTTATTGTCAGCTGTCTTTTTAATAAATGTCTGCCATTCAGTTCTCTTAAAAACCCAGGTCATGATTTTATTATATTTTCCATTAATGTGTCATACAGAAACTGTCAGAGACTCTAAGCGACAAAAACAGGAAATAAAAGAAGCAGCTTCATCTATTAGCGAGGTAATGGAGCAAAGCCTGTGAGGTATATCAGGAAGGAGCGTGCTGCTACAGTACACAACAATATTAGCTTTCATTTTGGTATTTTCTTCAGGCAATTACAAAAGTGGAGTCGTCTAATGTTCAAGGTCTTTAGATAAAGAGCAGAAAGAATTAGTCAGAAAACCAGAAAAGGAGTCAGCATGTTATTATTTCTGCTTTCTTTATGTTTGGAAGACGGTGAGGTTTTTGAAATGAGTTTTTGATTAGAAATAAGGTCTATGAAAGCTGAAGAGATTGTATTAACATTTTGTTCTACATCATAAAATCGTCAGTAAAAGACCATGCTGTAGTTCCTTTATAGCCCAACATTAGCCACCTTTAGCTTAGCGGTGGTGACGTGAAGCCATGTGACCGTGCTGTAGTTCCTTTATAGCCCAACATTAGCCACCTTTAGCTTAGCGGTGGTGACGTGAAGCCATGTGACCGTGCTGTAGTTCCTTTATAGCCCAACATTAGCCACCTTTAGCTTAGCGGTGGTGACGTGAAGTCATGTGAACCGTGCTGTAGTTCCTTTATAGCCCAACATTAGCCTCCTTTAGCTTAGCGGTGGTGACGTGAAGTCATGTGACCGTGCTGTAGTTCCTTTATAGCCCAACATTAGCCTCCTTTAGCTTAGCGGTGGTGACGTGAAGTCATGTGACCGTGCTGTAGTTCCTTTATAGCCCAACATTAGCCTCCTTTAGCTTAGCGGTGGTGACGTGAAGTCATGTGACCGTGCTGTAGTTCCTTTATAGCCCAACATTAGCCTCCTTTAGCTTAGCGGTGGTGACGTGAAGTCATGTGACCGTGCTGTAGTTCCTTTATAGCCCAACATTAGCCACCTTTAGCTTAGCGGTGGTGACGTGAAGTCATGTGACCGTGCTGTAGTTCATTTATAGCCCAACATTAGCCTCCTTTAGCTTAGCGGTGGTGACGTGAAGTCATGTGACCGTGCTGTAGTTCCTTTATAGCCTAACATTAGCCTCCTTTAGCTTAGCGGTGGTGACGTGAAGTCATGTGACCGTGCTGTAGTTCCTTTATAGCCCAACATTAGCCTCCTTTAGCTTAGCGGTGGTGACGTGAAGTAGTGTAATTAGTTGTGCATATATGTGTATGTGCTGTGCATTATATTATTAAAGTGTGGATTATGTAATTTCAGACATATTTTCCACATACTCACTATCATATGCACACATCACCAGCATGCATCCATGTGTGCAGTGTGTGCAGTGTGTGTAAATCCTGATGTAACTCCACTCATCTGCAGATTCACTCCCACCAGAGAACATCAGCCATGCTTTCTCCGAGGAGGAAACTAAAGCATTGTGTGTGGGAATAAAAATGTAAAATGAACCCTGAGATAATCTCCTCGACCTCTAAATTATTAAACTCGACTTCGTGGAGCTTCAGCTTGAAGATATTTACATAAATGGGTTAAGAAATGTTCCAAGAATCAGCCGTGAAAGCTGTGTGGGAGCGAGGGTTAAAGTTAAAGAAATTAGATGAACATGTCAGAAAGACTAAAGTATAAACATATCAAAACTCTGCAAAGCTTCTTGTCACGATCCTGGATTATCTGTTTTATGTTTAGTCTTTTTCTGATCCTTGTACGTCATTGTATTTCGTGCTAATGCATTGCCTGGATCACCCGAAATTAAAGGTATTTTGTGTTAATTCTCCCTGTATTTGGGTCCACTCTGGTTTACTCCATCAGGACGCTTCCTACCTGAGCTTTTGCATTAATGTGTTTAAAAACATATGAAGAATCAGCCGTGAAAGTGTGTGGGAGAGGCGAACAAAACGCTGTCAGCGAGGATGAAAACAAACATGTCTAAAATGGTAAAATACTCAAATAAAAAAGCCAGAAACAGAGAGAAGAGCGGAGAGTTATTGGAGGAACACGCTATATCTACCTACCTAGCCAAATCTGGGCTCTCATAATGTAAATAAGAACTAATATATAACACACTATCGTTCGACATGCAGTGTGTCTTTTTTAAATATAGTTTTTTTTGGTCCACAGAGATATCAATAGTTTAATTAGGGGAAACAGGGGTTCGGATCGATGCATTATTTCTCCGGCGTCTGTTTAGTTTCAGTAATATTTCTACTCCTGCTTTCTGTTCCCAGTGGATCTTTCTATGCACAGTTGAGCTGAACAACACAGTGAAACCTATCTCCATATCTCAGATAGACAACATAAGTGCATTTAGATGAGAGGAAAACCTAAATAGCAAGCGACTCGCAGCTATCGTGCTCTGGATCTGTTGGAGGAAGGAAAGCTAAATCAGTGACGTGCTGCTTTGGCAGACCCGGTCATTAACGGGATGACAGAGATAATGAAGTGAGAGGAAACAAACAAGGACTCAGAGGCTGACACACTTTAAAGCGTTAGAGCCTTTGTTTTAGGTCAACAAAGCTTGGAAGAAACACAAAGAGTTTAGGGTTTAAAACAAACAGCTGGAAGTTCAACAACTGCTATTACACTAATAAAAGTTGGACCTACTGTTATGTTCCTTCACAGGGGTGAATCGGCAAATTTGCCGATTTTGACTACAAAAAGCGATTGGAATCAAACATAAATCACACTTACAACACAGATCAGTGGAGACATTTTATTATTATTTAGTTTTTCTTTAGTTTTTTTCCCGTTACATTGGAGTATGACAGGTGAGGCTCTGACAGTAATACAGTGAGTGTGTAGCGCCACATGTTGTGAAATGAATGAAGGACCCATCTGTGTGTGCAGGACAAACAGCATAGTTTAAACTCTTATACATTTCCAGCGCTGCTCGTTGAACACGACAAATATTGATCCGCTGAAGTGGAAACGTCTTGTGACAAACAGCGTTCATTACAGAGCGTTTCCTGCGAGGCTGTTTTCACTTTTCTGCTCAGCGGAGTCTGAAGGAAGACATCTGCGACTCTTTTACTTTGACTTCCTGCTGATTAAACCTGAGCTCATTAAAACAAAAGATCTCCAGAGAGGAAGGAAGACAGGAGCCTGAAGATGTCAAATCAACACACTGTCAAACAGCTGCTGATTAACTGCAGAAATAATCAACTCCTTTATGAGATTACACCAAAAACAAGACAATATTTTGACATTTAAAACACATTTTGAAGCCTTTTTTTATTCTTAGTTTGAAATAATATTTATAATTTTTTATAACGCGTTCACAACCGACCTCTCAAACATAATCAAATTGCCAGAATTGTTTAAAAATAAAGAAACGCCTCATTGGACTCCTTTATTTACTTCCGGAACAAAGTGACATCACTATGGATCACTCGCACTCCTATTGGCTAGCGCTCCAACATATCGTACGTGATAGGCTAAGGGGCGGGACATCTCTAGAATAGAATAGAATAATGTATTGTCATTATACAAGTACAACGAGAAACGTAAGCTACTCCTTTTAAGGTGCCATCAAAACATTCAGAAAAGACAATCGGTTGACCAATCACATCAGAGCCGGGCAGCTAACCAATCAGAGCAGACTGGGCTCTGGTTTCAGTTCTAAAGAAAAGGATGTGAGTAGCCGACTGCACCAACCTCTCTCAATAAGAAGTCAAACTGCATTTAGCAGATCAGAGGGGATTCAATCAATAAAA